AAGCCCCGTTGTGCCCCTGCTTCTTCTGGGTATGCTAACCTTCTGAAGAAACATTCTTCCTCCAAAATTTATTTTCCCCGAGGCTGCCAAAATGGTTGATGATTGTGTTACTTGTGCAAGTTTTTGTGCATATATTTTTCAACATTAATGCTTAGTAAATAGACCATCAAAATAAGAACAGACTTTTAAACACAAGTTGATTCCTTAGTGTAGTAAATGACTTTTCTGCTTTGGTTCTTTTTCAGCCTTTGTAAAGGCTATATCTTCAAGAAGATTATATTGTGGTTTACTGTGTATTCCAGGCAATTCATGAAATGCTATTTATCTCTTTGTATCTTTGTTCCTGGAGTCCTGATGTGGCACTGCAGGTTAATGCACTGGTGTGCAAACTTGGTTTGAACCACAAGGTTGGTGATTAAAGGTCACCAGCCACTCCTTAGAAACCCTATACAGGGTTGCTATGAGTCGGAACCGACTCAACGGCATTTAACAATAACAACAACAACAACAACAACAACATCTCTATTCTTATATGGTTACACTAGAGGATGTACCTTCTTTCAGTAAAATCCTATGATACCCAAGGAGTTAACTATGGTGGATGATAACATCAAACACCTTTGTTTGACTTATCTGAGAACAGCATCTAGTGTACAACTGTAGGAATCTCTCCCAGCAGGAATAGGTGACATATGGCATGTATAATCAATAGTCTCTTAAAAAGGCTAAATTATAAAACTCTCTTTTTCTCAGTCATGCACATTCTTTCTGAAGTGAAGTTGTCCCACTTCCCTTCTCTTCTCTCCTTTCAGTTGGCATCATTGGAAACACGTTGATTGTGGGAAGATTGCAAACGAGTAATTCTAATAAAACTATTGGAACACAATAGTATAGCATTGGGAATCTATGTAGTTTTACATTTCTACTTACCATACTGATTTTCACATTATGCGAATCATTTTTATATAACATAAACAATGAAGAATATTGCTGTTCCATAATGACCAGACCGTATGTGTTAGAGTTAAAAATTCTTGGATAAGAGACATGAGTTGGAAAATGAATGATTACCTAATTTTTTTATTTATAAAAATATCTACAGCAAACTAGCCATGCTAGGAATAGCTTGCTTTTTGCTGTTTTAATATCTGAGTGAGATAGATTTACAGGCCCTCTTTTTAAGTCTTTCTGTAAAGTGGCTTCTCTCTGGTTGCTGTCTTCTCTTCAACCTTTTCCCATCTCTTCCTCTTTCCACCATCCCTATCTGTCATTCTCTCTCTCTCTCTTGTACACACACATTTACTAAGTGAGACTGAATATTAATGGTCTAACAAATGTATACCTCTGAGTTTAGATGAGTAGTCTCTGGATGGAATGAAGAAACAATGGTTATGTTTCTGATATTTTTCCTTTATTTTGTTAGTCTTTGTGGATACTCTCATCCTTTATTCCATACATTTTGCTGTTGTTAAAAAAAAAAATCCCAAAATAAGAATATTAACAGTATAATTTCAACAGAAATATTTTCCTCCTCATGACTGAATGTGATCATTTGAGAAAGAATATTTGTAGAAACCTAAAACTTAGTCAGTAGCATTGTAGGATAAGCAGCCCTGTTGCAGTAATGCTGTGGTGAATTATTAGCCTTCAGAGAAACGCAGCAAGCATAAGCAGGAAATTAACAATAGTAACTGATTTTGTTGGTAAGTTTTTCATTTTGGAATTCTAACAAAATAATCTCCCCTCCTGTATTCTAGCCTCTGTCTTCCATGCCTGAGAGCACCGAGGTATTGAAAAAACACAAGTACTGCAGTAGTGACAGCAGTTATGACAGTAGCAGGAGCTGTTCAGAATCTGACGAGAATGAAAAAGAAGACAACGGTCAAGACAAGAAAAGAGAAAAGCAAGTGACATATAATTTAAAAAACTCCAACCACTACAAATTTATTCAACAATCCAGTAAGTTAATTACTTTTCACTTAATTATTTATAAATGATTATGGAACTGGAATTACTGAACTGTAAAGAATCTTGGGCCAAATGAATACATGTATTGTGCATGAGGAGGTCAAAACTCGATTTCACTTTCTTTCCTAACATGATGAGGGCATTGGTCTCAAATCTTTTCAGTTTCTGCAGATGGCCGCTATGAGTTGGAACCAACTCTATGGCACATAACAACAGCATTCTGGAGTCCCGGTGTGGCACTGTAGGTTAAGTCCTGGACTGCTAATCACCAGGTCAGTGGTTCAAATCCAATAACTGCTCCTCAGAAACCCTATCTAGTGTTGCTATGATTCTTTGACACTTAGTAACAACAGCATAGTACATTCCAAAGGAGGCCTGTAGAATACGCACCGGACTGCTAACTTCAAGGTTGGCAGTTCAAACCCACTAGCTAGTCCATGGGAGAACAGTGAGGCTGTCTGCTTCTGAAAAGATTTACAGTCTTGGGACGATCACTTTGAGTTGGAATAGACTCGATGGCAGTGGGTTATCGTCCATTATAAGGAGTCCTGGAGGTGCAGTGGGCCAAGGCAGTGCTTGCCTAGGTATTGGTCACGGGTTTGAACCCATGGAGAAAGATGAGTCAGTCTGCTTCCGGGAAGTTTCCCAGCTTTGGAAGTCCTTGGGAGCTCTGCCCTTTCCTGCAGGGTCACTAGGAGTCGGAAGAGACAGGACGGCAGTCGTGGGATAGTCCACTGTTTTCTCTTTCATAGTTTTGTTAAAAGTTAAATTCCTATATGAATTTTATTAAAACATTTTTTTAAATCTGTCTTATGGTTTATCTGCTGATTATATTTTCTTTTAAGCAAGTTGTGTTCTCTTTCCCAACTTTCTCAGCCACTTTGCTTTATACTTGTTGTTAGGTACCATCAAGTCAGTTCCGACTCATAGTGACCCTCTGTAGGGTTTCCAAAGTTGTAAATCTTTACAGGAGCGGAAAGGGTAATTTTTCTCCCATGGAGTGGCTGGTAGGTTTGAACTGCTGGTCTGTAGTTAGCAGGCCGGTGCTTATCCTATAGCGCCACCAATGCTCCTCATGCTTTATACTCTCACCTGTTTTTTAAAAAGCATTTGAATCAACTATGTCTGTGAACCATCTTAATTGTGAAATACTTGAAGTTTTGTTCTCTGTCATTTTCTCCACTGGTAAGCATTTGAGTCCAGGCTTTTGGTGCACAGGAAACAGGAAAGCAAACTAGCTGTCCTTGCTTTGTCTTGCCTTTTTGTCTCTTTTGACCTTTATTTTCATATTTTTTTCTCTTGTCTTTAATTCTGTCTTCAGCCCTGAAATACATTTAATATTGTGCCCATTTAATTTTTGTCCCCAGATATCCTGTATGATATTTCTGCTGCTCAGGCTTAGTATATAATACCCCTTCTTAACATTGCCTCAAATTCAGGACTTTTCTTAACTCCTCTCTCTTGTTTCTCTTTGCCATGAACTCTGTTGTCTTAAGATTGCACTTAAAAGACTGTTCAATAATGCAATAAATAGAAATGTGAACCTTTTTTTTTTTTTTTTTGAATCTCCAGCAATGGTTTAGTAAGTTAACTTCCTTGCTTTCCTTCATAATAGTTTTATTTTAAAATACTCTTGTTATAGTTTATTATACACTTAAACTCCATTAGGATAATTGTTAGAGTTTTCTTTTCTTTACTTCTTTCTCATGAGACCTAAATTCTGTAACTTTCTCTTTAAGCCTAGCCATTCTCTAGACTGCTTTCTATCTCTCCCTATGAATCTTTCTGCAAAATATGCAGTCTCAAAACTGTATGTTGTAGTTGCTAAGTGCCAATGAGTCGATTCCGATCCATAGCAACCCTGTATAGGGTTTCCAAGGGGCAGCTGGTGAGCTTGAATCGCTGACTTTACGGATCAAACTGAACTTGCAGTCCAGCGCATTAACCCGCGGTGTCACACTAGGACTCAAAACTGTATAAATATGAAATGACCAATCTAATCCCAAGGAAAGTAAATGGTGTTGCAATACTATAGAGAAAGAAAGAACTCAAACCTGAGCTTGGCACTTTCTTGCTGTATGACCTCTAAGCCTCAGTTTCTTCATTCATAAAAGATGGGGGAGAAAAGTAAACAAAGATTCGTCCTTTGAGGGTTTTTGAGAGGATTCAGCACCCAGCACGATGCCTGACACATAACAGGTACTCCATAAAAAATTAATACTTTCTTCCGGCTCTTTTGTGCCGTATTTCTAGAACATAACATTAAAGTACTGTTGTCGTTGTTAAGTGTCGTCAAATTGGTTCCAATTCATAGTGATCCTGTATAGGGTTTCCAAGGAGCATCTGGTGTGTGTGAAGCACTGACCTTGTGGTTAGCAGTCCAGTGCTTACCCTACAGTGCCATGCCTAGTAAAGAAAACAATATTAAAGTGTTTTTCTTATTCTTCTTATATATATTCAAACTCATATTTTCATGGTGATGCCTGTGTTTTGACATTTATTGCCATTCTGGCCTAATCATTAGTCTATAATAGAGCCAGTGTTGAGGGAAACTTCTAATGTTGCTGCTCTACTATTCCACTTCTCCATCCTCAATAGGCTCCATGAGACGGTCAGTCAGCTGCCCTCGGTCCATCTCTGCTCAGTCACCTTCCATTGGGGAGACCCGCCCCTTTTCTGCTCAACAAATGTTAACAGCATCCCGGCCAACTTCAGGGTCCCGGTCACATTCCCTAAACCGTGCTTCCTCTTACATGAGACACCTAGCTCAAAGTAATGATGTCAGCTCTACCAACTCTCAGGTGGTGAGTTTCTATTCTTCTCTTTTAAGATTATAGGAAGCACATTATCAGAAAGTAGATGGTAAAAGGGATCAGCTGGGAGGAGGCTAGATTGAGCCTCAGCCTCTTCCTATATTACTCAACTTGTGGCTTCTTGGAAGTTGATTACTCTTCTATTTTAGGCTACAATTTAGTGAACCGTTGTATTAGGAGATTTTTTTTAAAGTTAGACTTCCCTGTAACAGAACTCAAGGATGTACAATGAGAATAGCATTATTATTATTTTCCATTTGCTGCTATAGTAGAACAATTTTGTTGAAACACATCTGTGTAAATGTAGTTTGGAAGCCTGTCTTTAATGTATCTGAAAATTTGGGGATTTTTTTTGTATGAAAAATTCAGTATAATGGGATTATATGTTTGATAGATTTAAAAATAATCCATTGATAAATTCTTATAATATTGATTTAAGTAAAACATTCTTCATGTTTTAGTTTATTTTCAACTTTGTATTGTGAATTGGATGAAGATTTTCAGAGCAAATCAGTTTTCCTTCCAAAAATTCATGCATATTCTGTTTCATGTCCTGATAACAATTACTCACAATTGACATACAAAATCCTATCCCCATCATCATCAGACCCATCTGGACAAGAGGAAAACTATTTGATGGGGATTCTATCTGACTCTCATTCTGACACTCAGCACCCTCATGGAAGCTTGTAAGGCAGCTTCCTGCCTTTATTGCACCCCCTCCATCCAGTTTTGATAGTTGAACTCTAACTTGCCCATCCCTGCCAACCCAGTGTACTGAGGAGGTATGTTTGACCCTTATGAGTCCTTCCCTTTCTGTTGGAATTGTGGACAACTTCATCCATCAGCAAAGGTCTAGTTTATCAGGTTGTGGCAATTTATGTTGTTCCCTGTATCAGATTTCTGTATCTTTACCTGATCAAGTTCTGGTCAACAAGCCATCCAGTCTAGCTCTATCTGCAGGTTTGGGAGCTCTTGCAAGCCCTCCCCCTAGTTCAGACCAGCTGGCCACTTCACTCTTAACTCTAGCCCTCAGAGGCTAGGACAGTGTCCTTGTGCTTGGGAGAGTTCATACGTCTCCCTGAACTCCAAACCAGCCAGCCCTTCTTCCTCATCTCTCTCTCATCTTAAGGTCATTGGGTATCTATAGAGCATGGCCAAACTCAGTCTGTGTCTTCATTGCTGCATTTCCCCACCTTCCACTTACAAGGTGACCAGGGCGTAGACACTCATTTATATTTAAGTATTTTGAGCTAAACAAAAAATGCAGCTATGTGGAAGTATGAACGATACTCTTGGGAATTGAATCTGTTTATTCCTAGGAATTTATTTAATTAAAGAATTTATGATATCAGTAGTTTATGCAGTATGTTGCATTTTCATTATAGTTTATTAATAAATATTTGTAAAAATTTTTCTTCCTTCATTGTTTTTCATTTCAATTAAAAATACATCATTTTTACCTAGAAATATTTTTCAAGTTATAGTGGCACAATGAAATAAGATCCCTTACAAATATGTGTATTCCTTCAAATTTAAGAGTGAGTCCTTGCGGCAACTGAAAACAAAAGAACAAGAGGACGATTTAACGAATCAGACCTTATCTGTTCTCAAGGACATGAAGATCCGATTTCCAGGAAAATCAGAGGCAGAATCAGAACTAATGATAGAAGATGTGAGTATTTAGTGTATATAAAATACCAAGGGGATCATACCTTTTTATATTTATTCTTGAAATATTAAGATTTATCTCCCAATGGCATTATTCTCACTGACATAGTAAACTTAATTGATGTTCTTTTCAATCTTCCCAAGCATTAGAAAATATAGATTTATTTTAATGATTTTCATTCATGAACAGTGAAATTACATTAATAATCAGCAGTGCAAAATATCTTTTGGTATATAATAGCGTTATAATGATGAAACTTCATCAAGTGTGAATTATTAGTGTTAATTAATTATTGCTCTCAATGATTAAAAATAGATTAGCCCTGTTTCTAGAAAGATCTAATATGGAATGAGATGATATGAAAAAAATGGGACCCTGGCTTAACTTGTCAAGAATATCTGAACGTGATATCATGAGTGATTATTGTAATCAAAGAAAATAAAAGTATATTCAAATATATATGTCATTGTTGTTGCTAAGTGCCATCAAGTCGCTTCCAACCCAAAGCAACCCTGTATAGGGTTTTCAAGGAGCGGTTGGTGATCTTGAACCGCCGACCTTGAAGTTCAAACCAGCTTTACACTCCAGCGCATTACCCCACAGAGCAACACCAGGACTCCAAATATATATGTTGTTGTTGTTGTTTAATGCCGTCCAGTTGATTCCAATCCATAGCGACCCTGTATAGGGTTTCCAAGGAGCAGCTGGTGAGCTTGAACCACCGACCTTGCAGTTCAAACAACTTTGCAGTCTGATGCATTAGCCCATAGCACCACACCAGGACTCCAAAATATATATGAGGAGGTTTCAAATAGTTAATGGAAAAATCCCATAATCATTAAATTCCATTTTTATGAACTTTTTAAAACACCCATATATACATTATGTTGTTGTTAAGAGTCATTGAGTTAGTTCCAAATAGTAGTGACCCTCTATAGAGTTTCCAAGACTTTAAATCTTCTTGGGAGCAAGCCTCATCTTTTTCTCAAATGGCAGACATTGTGGTTTTTTAAATATATATATATCCACACACTGGTGTGGAACTAGAAGATAAGCACTAGATTGCTAACCACCAAGTCGATAATTAAGTGGCATCTTTCCCCAAGGAAAATGTATCTAAAACAGGCCTCACTAAAACATCACTGTCAACTATATTTTTTCATTAGAGTTTTGTTTGTATCTTAAATGTGTTTTAATATATTCCTATTTCTGGAACTTGGGTCAGTTTTAGGATTACTATGCCTCTGATTCTGTAATTCTAGGGTGTTAACAATCTAGTGTGGAGCCTTATTTGTGAAGTGTTGTAGCACTTGCCTATTAGTAAAAAGGCCGGCGGTTTGATCCCACCAGCCTCTCCAAGGGAGAGCGATGTGACCTTCTGCTTCTGTAAAGATTTACAGCTTTGGGGCAGTTCTCCTCAGTTCTATAGGATCACTGAGTCAGAATGGACATGGTAGCAATGGGTTTGGTTTAGCTTTTACAGTCTGATGACCATATACTCTCAACACATTTGGTAGGATATGTATTTGGGGGGATCAAATGATGGTCTGGGAGATGTCACATATTAGAACTGATTTCTGAATTTAAAAACGTATTTTGCAAGAACAATAGAGGTAATAGTTGCAACCGGATTACCCACAATTTCAGACATTATTGCTGTTGTCTTTCATCTCTCTGAATGCTAATTTTCAAATTGCATGGCTGTTTCTTCTGAGATCAAATGAATACCATCCTATAAAAATTCAAAGTTTTAGTGCAGAAAACAGTGGGCATTTGATTTAGATAAATAACCAGTGAGCTTAAATAAGAAGAGGTTGGCAAAGATTCTTTAGAAGAAGTGAAAGGAACAAATATTGTTTTGGTGTGATAACGGTGGTGTGGGGTAAGCATTGGTCCACAAGGTCAGTTTAAATTGCAGGATCGCCGGTTGTTGTTAAGAGTCATGGAGTTAATTCCAACTCATAGAAGGCTTGTATAGAGTTGCCTTGTATAGAGTTTCCAAAGAGTGGCTGGTGAGTTTGAACTGCCAGCTTTGCAGTTCAAACTAACTTTGTGGCCAAGTGCCTTTTCCTGCAGCCCACTTGGTCTCTATGAATTGGAAACAACCCGACAGCACTTAACAACACCAACTAAAGTATGCCGAGGAGTACTAGTGGCACTGTTGGATAATCACTGGATTGTTCATCACAGGGTCAACAGTTCAAACCCATCAACCAGGCCACAGGAGAAAGATGAAGTTTTCTGCTCCTGAGAGGATTTACAGCCTCAGAAACCCTATAGGGCCACTCTGAGTAGGAATCTATTCAATGGAAGTTGTTGTTGTTAAGTGCTGTCGAGTTGGTTCCAACTCATAGTGACCCTGTATAGGGTTTCACCGGAGCAGAACGTTTCATTTTTCTTCCACTGACAGGCTGGTGGGCTTGAACTGAAAGCATTGTTGTTCGAAGTCTAGTACTTATTATATGGAACCACTGTGTTCCGTAAGGACAAATGGAATGAAAAGATAATAGAAGTTTTCCACAAACTTTTTGTAACCCCTTTGTATAGTAGTATATTTTAATACAAACTCATTGTAATGTATCCCTTTTTATAATATAATGTGGGAATTATTTTTGTTCACATTTTGAAATGACTTATGGTGACTTGGTGTGTTTTTGTTGTTACACACTCATTTGTTCCTAGAGTAGAATATTCAGAAATGGCAAAAAGCCCCAAAGTATACATGAAGTCAATGACTTACTCCTAATTTGCAAAGAATATTCAAGTCATTCAAATATTTTTGGTGAAAAAAAGTCCAATCACTCAAGGTACATTGTGTCCTGGTTAAATACTTCATTCAAACCTACTTGTTAAAGGTTCATTCTTCGATAATTACTCAGCTCACTGTAACAGACATACAACATCCTGGTTGTGAACATCTTACTATATACAAATCTAGTTACAAACCAACACTGGTCAAGTCTATTTTATTAAACATTTGAGGCACATACAATGGTTTGTAATAGCAAGCAGGTGATACTTTGTGAAGCACATCAACACATTTTTATTGTTAACACTGTATGATGTTAAAGATGTTTTAGGGTATCTGGAAGTGTTTATGTTTTTTGCATATAAAAGTATATACTATGTATTAAGACAAATATTTGAACTTCTTATATTAGAGATGAACTGTGCTTAACTTCTCCCATTTATATATACATTCTGCTTAAAGACAGATGTAGGAACAAAACCTGTTTGTAATCTGGGACTGCCTGAATTTTTTTTTTTTTTTCAGGAGGAGAAAGGCACCATCTAGTGGCCAGTTGTAAAATAAAGACCACAGTCCTGCATTTTGCCTTACTCATTTTTTCAAATTGCTTTGGGACATTCTAAAGTATATGTCTAAAAACAAAACAAGCAAAAATATAATAAATTTTTATTTAAAAATATGTAATGGTTATTTATAGTTTATAATCATGTTGTTGCTATTAAGTGCCTACAAGTCAGTTCCAACTCATAGTGATCCTGTATAGGGTTTCCAATGAGTGAGTGCTGGGTTTGAACTGCTGACCTTACTGTTAGCAGTCCAGTGTTTATCCTACAGTGCTACACCAGGACTCATAATTACATTCTCCAAACATACATTGTATTGTGAGAATGGCATCTTATGTCTTAGGTATTTTCCAATCTTTATGCACCTGAAGACATTTGACTTCATTAGAGATTGTGTGCTCACAAATGCAAACAGAGAAACGCTTTGGATTCATATGGTTCCTGTATGTGAGAAATCTTTTCACATATCTCATTATGAAAGTAGGCTTTTTTTTTTATTGTGACAATGCTATAGTGCTGCAACTGCATGTTGTTATTGTTAAATGTCCTCAAGTTAGTTCTGACTCACAACAACCCTGTAGAGCATTTCAGAAGAGTGGTTGATGAGTTTGAACTGTTGGCTTTGTGATTCAAACCGACCTTGTGGTCCAGTGCTTCTGCCACAGCACCATACCAGTACTACTCAACTGCTGCACAGATCAATTAAATTAATTAAGTTCGCTTCAACCCATTTACTTTTATTTATGACTTTTGAGGAACATTCAAATTTTTTTTTTTTTTATGTTTCTCCAGATTGTTGATAACTGGAAATATCATAAAACGAAAGTGGCTTCATATTGGCTCATAAAATTGGATTCTATAAAACAACGAAAAGTGAGTAATGTCTAAAAGTAGCCTTGTCATTTCAGATTAAGCTGGGGCTACTAATTCGTAATTAAACCATATTAATGTTCATTCAATTACTCATTTCTTTATGAAATATTTTTTGAGTACCTGTTATGTCAGGCACTGTTCTCGGTTCTCAGGATAAAAAAAATGAATTAAAATATTATGTTCTCAAAGAATTTGTGTTCTAGTGTTTGACAAAGTGTTTAACAAGAAACAAATATATAACAGAATGTAATGTCATATTAAATGCTATCAAAAAAATAAAGCAAGATTGAAAAAATAGAAAGTAACATTTGAGCAGAGATCTAAATGAAATGGGAATCATTCCCATGTGATAGCTGCAGGTAAATGTATCAGACAGAAAGAAGAACAAATACAAAGTCCCTGAAGTAGAAATTAATTTGATGTGTACATGAAGTTTACCAAGGTATCATCTTTAGGATAGATTGTGTTTTGCTGGAGAAGAAAGGTAAGCGATGAGGTTGGACAGACTGGCAGGTGCTAGATCACAACTTTATATGTAATGTAATGACTTGGACTCTTTTAAGTATGGGGAACCAATAGAAGATTTTGAGCAGAAGATTTATTTATTTAAGTTCACATAATCTAAAAGGCTCATGGGAGCTAAATGTAGAAATAGAATTGAAGGGTAGAGGAATGTGGTAGTTTGGAAGTAAAGACCAGCTAGATTTATGGAGTAATCAAGGCAGGAACTAATGATTGCTTAGCTCCTGAATGAGTGAATTCTGGAGAAAGGCAGGTTTTTAATTGTATTGCTCTTGTTTTGGTTTTGAACATGGTAGCATTGATAAAGAAATTGAAGATTTTTTTTAACCACTTTCTGCAGTCTGAAACTGATCACTCAAGATGCACTGCTAATTAGTGGTGATTGAAATGCAAAGATTGGAAACAATGGAGAATGATCAGTAGTTGTAAAATTGGGCTTTAGAAACAGGATGGAAATGATGCTGGGGATTGCATGATAGAAGTTTTGCAAAACCAGTGTTTTATTCCATAACATAAATTGCATCTATACATGTGGACCTTACCAGACGAAGCACACAAAAATCAAATTGACTACATGTTGTCAAGAGAAGATAGAGGAGCTCAATATTACCAGCCAGAACAAGATCAGTGGCTGACTGTGGGACAGATCATGAATTACTCATATGCAAGTTCAAGGTGAAGCTGAAGAAAATTAGAATAAGTCCATAAACTCAAAATACAACTTTGAGCATATCTCACCTTAATTTAGACACTATTTCAAATATAGATTCAACTTTTTGAACTCTAATGACTGAAAACCATATGACCTGTGGATTAACATCAAGGGCATCATACATGAAGAAAACAAAATGCCATTATAAAGACAGGAAAAAAGAAAAGACTAAATGGATATTAGAAGAGACTCTGAAACTTGCTTTTGAGCATAGAGTAACTACAATAAATGGAAGAAATGAAATAAAATGCTTAAAATAAAATTTCAAAAGGTGACTAAAGAAGACAAAATATTATAATGAAATGTGCAAAGACCTGGAGTTAGGAAATTGAAAGGGAAGAATATGCTTGACATTTTTCAAGCTGAAAGAACTAAAGAAAAAAATCAAGTCTTGAATTACAATATTGAAGGTCCATGGGTAAAAATTGTGTTGAATGATACAAGAAGTATGAAAAGAAGATGGAAAGAATACATAGAATCACTATTCCAAAAAGAATTAGTTAACATCCAGCCATTTCCAGCAGTTGCATATGATCAAGAACTGATGGTACTGAAAGAAGTCCAGCTGCACTGAAGACATTAGTGAAAAGCGAGGCTCTAGGAACTAATGGAATACCACCTGAAATATTTCAACAAACAGATGCAGCACTGGAAGTATTCATACATCTGTGCCTAGCCAACTGATTGGAAATGATGCATATTTATGCCCATTCTATAGCAAAGTGATACAGTAGAATATGGGAATTATTGAATAATACCATTAATATCATGTGCAAGTAATAGTTTGCTGAAGATAACTTCAAAAGTGATTACAGTAGTATATATACAGGGAACTGCCAGAAACTCAATTCAGATTCATATCCTCTTCTGTTTCAGACGAGGATATGAAATGAGGGCTATCATTGCTGATGGATCTTTGCTGAAAGCAGAGAATACCAGAAAGATGTTTATCTGTATTCTTTGACAGTGCAAAAGTATTTGACTATATGGATCATAACAAATTAGGAATAATATTGCATAGACTTGGTCTATGTAGAAACTGTACATTGACTATATGGATCATAACAAATTAGGAATAATATTGCATAGGGTTGGTCTATGTAGAAACTGTACATAGATCAAGAGACACTCATTCATGTCTTGTTTTTTTGCTGTACTTATTCTGTTGGTCCACCACTCATCTGCCAGTTTGTCATACTGTGAATTATGACAAGCTATGGACAACTGTGGCAACAATTGTGAGGCTGGCCCAAGACCAGGCAGTGTTTTGTTCTGTTATGCATAGGGTCACCATGAATAGCTACCGACTCAATGGCACCTAACAACAACATTCTATTGGTATGCTTAGCAAATTATCTGAGAAACAGGACTATCTGTGGAAGAACATGACATTAGAGTGGTAGACTCATTAACAACTTGCAACCTTGCTTGCTGAAAGCAAAGAAGACTCAAAACACTTAGTGTAGATCAAAGACCATATCATTTAGTATGGATTACACCTCAGCATAAAGCAAGTCCTCGTAACTGGACCACCGAGCAACAACATGATAAAAAAAATATTGCAGTTGTCAAGGATTTCCTTTTATTAAGATCTACAGTCAACATCCATGGAAGCAGCAGTCAGGAAATCAAACAACATACTGCACTGGGTAAATCTGGCATATAAGATCTCTTTAAATTATTAAAAACAAAGATGTCCTAAGGTGCACTTTACCCAAGCCATGGTATTTTCAAAGGCCTCATATGGATGTGAAAGCTGGACAATAAATAAGGAATACTAAAAAAGAAATTATGCCTATGTGTTATTGTGTTGACAAAGTATATTGAATGTGCCATTGACTGATAGAAGAATGAACTAATCTGTTTTAGAAGAAGTACAGCCATAGTAGAGAATTTGGCAGAATTTGTCTCATGTCCTTTGGACATTTTGCTGGAGGAGTCTCTCTATGGAGAAGGACACCGTACTTGGTAAAGCAGAGGAAGACCTTCAATAAGATGGATTGACACGATGGCTGCAACAATGGGCTCAAATGTAGGAACATATATGTGCAGGACCAGGCAATGTTTTGTTGTGTTGTAGATAGGGTCTTTAAAAATTCAAGCCTCGACTTTCATTACTGAAGGGTTCTCTGGGCAAATTATTGAATGATGCAGAAAGCATCAAAAGAAGATGGAAGGAATATACAATGAATTACCCTACCAAAAGGAAATGGTTAATCTTCAATCATTTGAAGAGGTAGCGTATGATCAAGAACCAATGATACTGAAGGATGAAGTCCAAGGTGCATTGAAGGAATTGGCAACAAGGCACCAGGAACTGATGGAATCAAAATTGAAATCTTTGAAGAAAATGAGGCGGCACAGGAGGCACTCACTCATTTATGCCAAGATATTTGGAAGACAACTATCTGGATGACTGATTGGAAGAGATCCGTATTTGTGCCCATTCCAGAGAGGTAACCCAATGGAATCCGGAAATCATTGGACAATATCTTTGATATCTCATGCAAGTAACGTTTTATAAAGGCAATACAGAAACAGCTGCAAGCATACATTCACAGAGAACTTCCAGAGATTCAAGCCAGATTCAGAAGAAGCTGTGGAACAAGGGATATCATAGCTGCTGTCCGATGGATCTTGGCTGAAAGCAAAGAATGCCAGGAAGATGTTTACCTGTGCTTTATTGACTAT